GGACACTCTCTTCTTTTTCTGACCGCCAGACTGTAGCTCATCAACCAGGGATGGTTTGATTCGCACTTCTACCAAAATCAGGTTTCCAAGGGGAAAAAAAAGAAAAAGCACAGACCTTGGGCCCATGCCTGTCCCCGCCACCCACAAGGCCTGGGACACAGACTCGTTCTTAGGCTTTGATGTGTTGCTAGAGGAAAAGGAAATGTTCCATCCTGCCGCTGCACATGTGGGGCGCCCTGCACAGCAGCACCGCCTCGCTAGGGGCTGACTGGGGCAGCCACCACTGTCTGCAAATGGGGAAAGCCATTGAAAGCAAATGGTCCAACCTCATTGAAAGAAGGAGGCATCCTTTCCTTGTGAATGAAGCACCAGCCTTGGAAGGGGGACTGTGGGTTCCAACGTTTCCTTGCCTTGTTCACCACCACAGGACGGGGTGGTGGTGCTGGTTAGGTCTAGAGGATTGGCCTAGCACCAGCCTCGGTCGCCAGAGGTGGCTACAGCTATGCATCTCTGATGCCCATTCACCCCAAGAGGCAGACAAAGGAGCTTCTCTGTCCCTGAGGAGAATTCTGGGTCCATCCCACAGGCCGCCCCTCCCTCCCAATGCCCAGGTCCCCAGTGGCCCATACCCAGAAGGCCCCTCATAGAACAGCCAGAGAGCATGATCAGAGATGGACTCCCGCCTCCTCTGTTCTGTCCCTCTATGTGCCTGGGAGCCACTCGTCCTAAGACTATCTAATGTGCCCCAAAGCAAACAGGGCAACTGTAGCTATTGCCAAGAAGCCCCCTGCCCCATCCTCTGCTGCCTCTTCCCAACCAGGCTTCCTCACATGAGCCCTGAGGATGCACACAACTCCTACAGAAGCTAATAGAGAACATTCCAGCTCCCCAGTAGGGCGTTCTGAATCTTGGAGACATCCCTTTCCCCAAGCACATGTGTCTCCCTCCTGCCTAGCCAGTTCCACATCTGGCTGACCACAAAGCGAGTGCATTGTAGGAGGTGGCTGGAGGGTCCCGAGACCCTAAAGGCGACACAGAAACAGGAAGCTGAAGAGGCCCTGAGAGACAGCTGGAGGCCAGCCGGTCCTTGCTCCTGTGCCCAGTCATCCCGCAGCTGGGCAATGGCCCCAAGGAAGCTGGGCTTCAGCCATAAAGACATCGGGATAGTTATTATCCCAAACACAGCCTAGGGCTCAAAAGTCAAGCTCCTCAGGGGGCCCTCAGGTGGAAACTAGCATCTGGGTATCGGGCCCATCTTTGACTGGCCAGCAACCAAAATCTGCTTCCTCACCCAACCTCAGCCTGCTGACATCAAAAAGACGATGAGCCCAAAACATCTATTGTCCTCCCTGCCATCCAAAGCTTCGGACAAGCCCTGAGTTCTCCACCTCCTCTGATCCTCCTCGACAGTGGTCAGTCTCTTCTTGCCTCAAGCAGTCCATAGTTGGAGGCTCTCTTGGTTCATCAACACCTTCTCCCCAGACTCATAGCTCTGATCCATTCCATAAAGTCCCAGTAAGGTTGGTCCCCTAGCGTGTTAGGTAGGAAAGGAAGGAAGGATCTCCTAGAGATCAGTGTAGAGCTGTGGCTTTGCCTGGGGCATTCACACGTGACCCCTCAAGGCTGGTGACCTCCTGCTGGGAGCTACACAGACATCTCTTGCTCAGCTATGTTTCTCTCCAGAAAGGCTCAGCAAGGTTCCTGGTCATTTTCACAAGATAGGGAGATCCCAGGAGACAGGCGCCTTGAGCCACACATGGGTGAGAAGGCTGCCTCCCACATCTCTAGCTTCAGGACAAAATAGGCACTCCTTGGATAGCATGCTTGTTGGGGAAGTGTCAAGATTACAGGGGTGACAACGGATGTAACAGATGGTGCCGGGGATAAAGCAGAGATGGGAGGGGTGACTGGCTGGGGAAGATGCCAAGTATGAGGCAGCTTCACGTTTCTTCCCTCACCCCCGCAAATCTTCACTTTGCCCGGGACCGGCCAGGTCCCTCGGCTAGCAGTCTGAACCTTGCTTCATTAGATGCAGACAAGATGGTCACAGGATCTAGTCAGGGTAGGAGGAGAGTGAGCCTCAGAATCAGAGACCCAGGAAACAAGAGAGGGGCCCTAAGAGTATGGAAGGAGTCTGACGGCCCAAGGAGGGCAAGAAACGACAGAACCTGTTGGGGGCTGTCCCCACATACATAGACACCAGCCAGCAACCTGAGCCCCTGAGCTGACCCAAGGCCGAGCAGGACCCAGTCAGGGTCAAAGATATCGGGCCAACAAGATGGCTGTAGGTGAGGGTAACTGCTGTCAAACCTGACAGACTAAATTCCATTCCCAGGACCCGTATGATGGAAGAAAGTTGTCCCCCCCACCCCCCGCACACCATCACACATGCATACCCACATACGTACATACTCAGACAACATATATACAACACGTAAATAAAACACAATTAAGATGGGCCTCTGGTGTATACATCATGCTGGAAAGAGTTGGTCAAGATGCCAACACACCACCAGGCATGGTGGTGCATGTCTTTAGTCCCAGCACTCAGGAGACAGAAGCTGGAAGATCTCTGTGGGTTCAAGGCCGGCCTGGTCTACATAGTGGGTTCCAGAACATCCAGGACTTGTGTAGAGATACCCTGACTCAAAAACAAAAAAGATGCCAACACATCTCCATCTCAAAGTACTCACTCTGTGTTCATTTTTTCTTCCAGGCAGCACAGGGGACTGAACTGGGCTTCCTACATTAAGTAAGCTGTCCACCCCGAGCTACAGCCAGATCCCTTCTGTGTGATTTTGTAGGCTCCAGATTAAGACAGTTTTCAGGTCCTCAGGAGCTGGTCTGTCCACCTTTGCACAAACCAGAGGGACAGTGGATACCTGCCACAGTGCCACCAGATCTTGCAGCTGGCAAAATGTCCATCCAGCATGACTCCCATAAGCCAAAGACTACAGTTAACCTTCAAGAAACTCTCTAAGGAATGAGTGTGGTTATGCACAAGATAAGGGAGGAGTTTACCTTCCCAGGATGACAAGGAAGGGAAAAAAGAGACCAGACTTCTAAATTCTGGCCAAACTCCACCCAATATCTCCACCCAAATTCAATCCCATCCAAGTCCTCCCAGGAGGCTGATGGCCCAGAGTGCAGAGGGCGGAGGAAGGCAGCCATCCCTCTAGTGTAGCCATCATACTAAGCAAGGCCCCAGGATGCCAGCATTCCAGCTGCTCCAGTCTGTCCCCTCCCTGTGCTTTGGCCCACTACGGGGATAATATGAAGACTTCCCACAGAAACGGTCCAAAAGCAAACAGAGGCAAGGTCCTGCCAAGCCACAGCTGCACAGTGTAGACGCTTAGCTGACCCTCTGAGGATGTCTCTGGCCACAGCAGGATGGCAGTCGCTGCAACCAGGCAAACACATTCCCTGCAGCCGTCTCACCCACGGCTGGGTATTCCCTGAGTCCTTATCAAGTACCTCACCTGCATTCCTTCACTCAATCCACACAACTCTGTGAGGGAGATACTGTTTTCCTCTCACCGTATAGATGAGAACGCTAAGGGTTAAAGAGGAGCTTGCCAGAGGTCCCATGAGCAACAAGTGGCCTCTCCAAGAATCCTCTCAGGCCACTAACGCCTATTGCTCTACACACACTCTCATCTGGGCAAGATCAACAGTCAGTCAAGCATCTGACCTCAAAACAAACCCAGACATAACCTTCTGGTCAGCTAAGCACCGAAAATGCCGCACACAGACACACACCTCTTTTGGTCTTCATGGGCTCGGCAGGTTTATAAGGACTCGGCTGTTTTCCTGCAGTACATAAATTCCATTTACAGCCACGGGAGTGAAGTGGATCTTGCTTTGGCCTAGCCTCTGCATCTGCTCCCCACGTTGTCAAACTTACTTAACAGACACACAGGCCCCCTGCCCAAGGAGCACAGAACACACCAGTCTACACATTACGAAACCAAGAACCCCAGCTTTGTTATGCATATTCCCAAAGACCAACAAATGTATTTTCAGATTAAAGAGGAAATTTGCATATATAAATTCAGATGACAGTATTTATAGCATAATTACATAAGTCCTGGCTCCTTTATTTAGCCCCAGAACCAATTCGTTATCGGTCACACATTCAGAATTCTCCCTCCCAACAGCCCTAAACCCTCCTCCACCTCCTCCCTCCCTTCCCCTCCTCCCCTTCCAGCCGACCAGGGCCTCTCATGCTGGCAAGAGGACACAGCTTCCTTCACTGTCACAGCCAAGCCTCCCAGACACACCCAAATCCAGCCTTAGACACCAAGACAGTGCAAGACAACCCCCAAAAGGCCTCCCTCCGCGTGCAATGGCCTGGCTCAAGTCCACAGACACCCGCGTTAGGACCACCAAGTGACGTCAGCCCGGAGGAAGGCAGACCCCTGACTGGGGCCCAAACAAACATTCAATGGGTTGGATCTGGAATCACTTCGGCTTCTGGGAATGGCTGCCGCAGACCCAGCGCTACCACTGAGGCTCTGGACCTGTCTGGAGTCGCACCTAGGGTTTAGGCTAGGGGATAGGGGGAGACGTGGAGAGGATGAACAGCAAGGCCTGGGTTCTTCCGGACCAAAGTCTGCAACTCCCCTGAGCTCCTTCGGGAGTGTGTGTGCTGGGGATGAAAAATCCCTGGATCCCTGGCGCACCATCCTCACTCTTTGCACCCAGCTAACAGCTCCTGCGCGACTAAGGCAAATCCCCAGAGATGCAGGAACACCTTGGGAGAGAAGAGTTGGGGGTGTCCGGGATCCTCCCGTCTGGACACGAGTCTGTCTTCACACCAGCCCAGAGCCACCTAGGTCTTGGCTTCTTCCCCCAAAAGGAGCTTCTGTCGAGCGAAGCCTGACACTCCGAGGCCCCCTCCCGGGGTTGGCTCCGGAGTCCCCGGGTTCGAGACCCCGCCGTGAGGTGCTGACAGCCCGCCTCGCGCCCCCTCCCGCGCCCCGGCGCGACGCGGGCCTCACCGAGATGCGTTCCAGGTCGGTGGCCGCCATGGCGAGCTGCGCACCGGGCGGGCGGGCTGCGGGGAGCGCCGGGGCCGCGGCGGGGACGAGCCGGCTGCGGGACGCGCTCCGCCCGGGCGGCTGCGGCTGAATGGATTCAATATGGCCACTTCCTGGAAACTCCCCTTGGCGGCGGCGGCGGGAGAAGCCGCGGAGCCGGCCCCGCCCCCGCCCGCGGGACCGGCCTCCCTACCCGGCTCGGCCCCAGCGCAGCGCGCTCCCCGCGGCTGGGACCGACCGGGGGTCTCCGCGGCTTGGCGAGAGACACCAGCTGCGGGTGCTGCTGGGACTTGTAGTCTGCAAGGTGGGGGGGGGGGGGGCCAGGACTGCCACGTCTGGGGGACCCGGGGCGCTTCCCGAGGCCTGCTGCGTGTCCCTAGGAAGCTGCATTGGTGCACAGCGCAGAGGGGTGCTACGTGCGCCCTGGGGGTTCGGCCTTCAGGCTGACCGTCCCTGCTGGAAGCTGCAAATGCACTGGGACCACCAGCTGGCGGGTTCACGTTCTGCAAGTGCTGGAGAGGGCCCCTCAGTCTCTTCTGCCTGTGCCACGGGTCCCACCTGATGCTCTAAGTCGGAGCTAGGGCGGGAACCCTGGGCTGGACCAGTGCGTCCGGCCAGGCAGCCTTTGGCTCCTTGCGCAATATGAGCCGGAGAAAGATGCACAGTTCGGGAAGCGGAGCTCGACCATCTGCGTAGCATATTGCTAGTGATCCTCACCCTGCCTGTCCCACGAGTTTGGAGTTATGTCATTGTGCAGGGAGGACCTTGGTTCTCACAGCACGCGCGTCTTCTTCACCAACCATACCACTCAAAAAAAAAAAAAAAGTCTCACGGGCCTCCGTAGTCTTTTTCAGTGACTACAAGAACTAGCTTGCCCCGTCTTCCCTTCCCTGCCTTTCTCTCCGGTCTCTCTGATAGTGACGCAAAATTGGCCTCTGCTCCTCCACTTCCCAAGAGTGTGCACCCCCACCCCCAATATCTTCTTGAGAAACAACCCTGTCCTCCCACACAGTGGAAACTTGTTTCTGCTGGAGGTATCTGGAGACCACATCTGGACTTGGCACGCCGCTGCTGCGGAACACTTCCTGTCCCCTGCATAGCTCTACCGCTCACCTTCTCTCCCTGAAGCGGCTTTTCCCTCCTTTCCTTACAAGCCATATCTTGTCTCCAAGGTTCCCAGCCGGACTTAACAATGTTTTTATTTCGTTGTGTGCTCCCCTGTGCTGTTGTTTCTTGCACATTTCTCTGACAAGAAATACAGCCGGCACGAAGCTCAGTTTCGTAGTGTTTGCTTGCTAGCACGCAGGAAGCACTGAGTTCTGTCCCAACACTACACAAGACAGATGTGACGGGGTACATCCATAAACCTAGCAGGACAATTCGGAGTTCAAGGTCATCCTCCCCTGTATAACAAATTCGAGGCCAGCCAGGAGATGTCTCAGAAAACAAAACAGGGGGGTCACAGCACGGTGTTTAAGAGTGGATCAATGGCAAACTTTTCCTGTTTGAATCACACCCCACACCCAGCTTCTTAACCTATGAAAACTACTCCTGTGATTGTAAAAATGTAGGTATTCACGAGCAGCCAGATGGCTCAGGGGGTGAAATTCCTTGCCACCAGATCTGAGGGCCTAAATTCAGTCACTGGGATCCACAAAACGGAGAGAACTGACTCCCTCAAACTGTTCTCTGAAAATAAAGAAAAATTAGCAGCGGGCTTTAAATTGGGTTTGAAATCTATTGTTTAGTGGTAATTCCTCTAGACCACAATAGCCCTAATGTCCGACCCCACAGAGTGAATGTATGTGGCTGATGATGTCATCATCCTTCCCCTTCTCTTTTCCTAGAACAGGCAAGGAGTGACTCCCAGCTGCCTTTTTCTTCCTCACACATCCTTGGCCCTAATTTGCCTTTTAAATGCCCTTTCATTTCTGCTTGAGCACTATTTCAAAACATCCGCTGAGTTCGGCATGATGGCGTACACTTTTAATCGCAGCGTTCTGGAGGCAGAGGCAGGTGGATCTCTGTGAGCTGAGGTCATCCTGGTCTACTGAGGCAAGTTCTAGGTCAGCCAGGGTTACATAGAGAGACCCTGCCTCAAAACAAAAGGAGGAGGGGAGGGAGAGATGGCTCAGCAATCTTTTAGAAGACCCAAATTTGGTTTTTAACATCCATGTCCTGGGGCAGCTTACAACAGCCTGTAAGTCCAGCTCCAGGGTTGTCTGCTGCCTCTGGCCTCCTTGGGCACACACATCACACCACATACGTGTACACACATCTAGCACTTCCGGCCGGCGTCTGAGATGGAAAGGTGCCAGGGAGACAGGTTACTACTCTCTCCTGAGATGTGTCCACACTCCTAGGAAAACTTTCTCCTAATGTCCAAGCCTCCCATTTCTCATATTGTGAGCGTTACTCTGTTTACGCTGCCGTGGGTTTGCACTTGCGAAGGAGGAAGGGCTGTCTGCGGGGGCGGAAAGGTGAGTAGAACAAGCTTGTCACAAGCAGCGAGGGCTTCCTACAGTGGTGCCCCGAGTGATCCTTATACACCCAGAAATACAGCTAGGGCAGCCGGGTCCCAGAGTCACGTGATCACAGGCCGAGATGTCTCCGAGGAAGTCCTCAGAGGTTTTGGTTGCCTGATGTGCACTGTCACTGAGAAAGCCTACTGTGCCATCTCTGCCCAGCCCTGTCCTGCCCCACCCATCTCCACCCCATAAGCAAAACCAGCAGGAATCTAAACAAGGCAGACCTCACTCCAGGAAACAGGGCCTTCCTGGCCTCTTGCTTCTCTTGTGTCTGTTTACAGTCTGCCATCTCTTTTGTTGCACTCAGGTTCAAGTTTTTCATGGGTCCCCTGTTATTTTTGTTAAGGCTTTCATTTTTCTTCTTTAATAAAATCTCTGGAATGGAATGTAGCTCTGGAGGGGGAATGCCTAACTGACAGGAACAGGGCTCTTGGGATTCCTCCTCAGCAATGGGGGGGGGGGGGGGGGGGGGAGCCTAAAAGAAGTTCTTGATCCTTGTCTCAGATTCAAAAAATGTTCAAAGGATGGGAGGGTGGGGTGTGGCTGAGCGGTAGAGCCCTTGCCTAGCAGGGGCAAGGCCCTGTGTTTGATCCCCAGCACCACAGAGGAGTACTTGCACTCTAGTTACAGCTGAGCCCACAGACGTCTTGCAGAGGATTTAATAACTTGGTAGACCAGTCACTTCAACAGCATTAACGCTTCTTCCCTCCCTCCCTTCCTTCCCATGTTGTCCAGGTAGACAGCCTAACACTTGGCCGACTCTTCCACCCTGTTGTCGGTATCCACGGCTTTGCCCTCATGGTCTAGCTCGGTGATACTGTGTGTGACTGTGCAACAGGTAGCAAAAGGCAATGGAGAGGATACAGAGGAGATGAGCAAACACTCTCAAGTGATTCCAGGGGCTGCCACAGGGTTCTTCCAGTAGTTCTGCGTACATCCCACTAGCCAGAACTGGGAAATGAGGTCTTTATTTTGCCCAGCATGTGTTTAGTGAAAAAGTCTATGAAATACTAGAAAGGAGACGGGGAACAGGCTCAGTGTGCAAAGTGCCTGCTCTGTAAGCATGGGGATCCGAGTTCAGATTCTCAGCCCCTATGTAAAAAGCCGTGTGTGGTAGCACAGATCTGTAACCCCCATGCTGTGGGTGTCAGCCTGCTAGACTTTATAAGGATGATATATACATTTTAAATAATTTTAATAGTACAGTGAAGTTTACGCGACCCCAATGGCACCACCCAGAAATGACCAGCACAAGCATCACTTTGCATTATCCTGGAAAGCTTTATGTGACTGTCTACAGACAGGTTGAAAAGTAACAGATGCTTTGTAGACGTGTCCACCTTGGGCCAGCGAGATGGCTCAGCGGGTGAAGGTGCTTGCCCACAAGTCTGACAGTTCCTGGAACTCACCTGGGAGAACTGACTCCTGAAAGTTCTTCTCTGACCTCCACGGGCCCTGTGGTCTGAACGAACGTACACATACAGACAAGAAATAAAATAAACAAATGCAAAGCCAGGAGTGATGGGACCCACGTTTAAGCCCAGCATTTGGGAAGCAGAAGCAGCTCGAGACTAAGTTGGCCTACATTGAAGGATCTTATCTCAACCAAAGAAATAAATATTAGATCTGTAATATCGATGCTACTGAAATATTATTTAGTATTCCTTGAACCTATTAGAAAAAAAAAATTTGCAGTGGAATGTTAAGAAAGAGTTGAGCCTCAAAGACTGTTTCCTGACCGCGGGAGACATTACTTCCTACAGACAGCTCTGAGGTAAAACAGAAAGTTGCAACACCATCCAGAGAATTGTTTCCTTAAAGTTCACACTTCTATTATATGTGCTGGTCTTTGCTGCCTTGGTTTCTTCCCTCCGCGGCTTTGTTAATTGTTATTCTAACAGTGTCTGGCCTAGGAACAATGGCATTCCATTCTGGAAACAGAATTCCACAACTGCTCGGTATGCAGTTTAAATTAATGCATTTGATGCTCAGCAACTGTCCTTTCACAATATGTTTTCATCTGCAATTAAAAAAAAATTAGAATCACACACACACACACACACACACACACACACACACACACACACAGAGGAAACTTTTTAAAAAAGTTGTTTTAAAGAATGTCAGTTAGTCAGCAGGAGTGGGCACACCTCTATTCCCAGCACTCAAGAGGCAGAGGCAGGAAGATCTTCCTGAGTTTGAGGAGAGTCTGGTCTGCCTGGTGAGTTCCAGGCCAGTCAGAGATGCACAGGGAAACCTTGTCTCGAAAAGTGAAAAGAAAAACAAACAAATATGAGTGTCAATAGCCTGTACCTGGGAACCATAAGGGAGCTGGGTAAATCATCACTGCTGCTACTGTGCCCTGCTTGGGACTGAACCGAGGGCCCAGGGCGTACTAGTGAATGTGTACACACCTCACTCCCAGCCCTGCCTAGAATAGTTTTAAAATCGTAACTCCTTTCTCACAGAATGCAGTAGCTTTGGCTTTTTTCTTCTTCCAGGAGGCAATCTAAAGCTAACCTGAATGATTTTTTTTTTTTTTTCATCAGAAGTAATGCTTTTCTCTTTGGAAGCACTTTTAATCTTATTTGTTTGTTTCTTAAGACAAAGTCTCTCTACATAGCTCTGGCTCTCTTGGAACTTACTCTATAGACCAGACTGGCACCAAATTTACCTGCCCCTTCCTCCTGAGTGCTGGGATTAAT